GTTCCTGAGCGAATTAAACATCACTGATCACGCCTTCCTTCGGAAAGGAAGTAAAGCCGTTGGTCCCCGGTCTATGAGTTGATAGGTCGATAGGTAGGGTCCAGGTGTGTGAGCTGTCTCCCTGGCGTCGATAGCATTGGTGCTCAGCATGGAAAACCTGCTATTGTACAAGACTTATTTTTGGAATCAATTTTGACAAACACCTCCAACACAGGAAAAAATCTGAATTTTAACTATCGCGTAAAATCTCCTCTCGTTTAATTTTGAGCTACAGTTGGCATAAACAACGAAATCGTGTACAAGCTTGCATATAATATTACTAATTTAAGCGATATTGCGCTTAAATGTGCACGAAATATCGTGTAAATTTACGCCAAATCTAGTGTTAATTTTATGTGCGCTATATCTAGCAGAAATTTACATGAATTTTTCAAACGGTGAATTTGACAGATAGAAAACTTTCAAATTAACTTGCTATTGTACCAGACTTATTTCTGGAAGACCAGGAATCAATTGATCATTTTATTAAGCTTCTGCATTTATGTTCCATCAGATGTCACAACTGTTGTTTACGGTGACATCTATCGGAAACTACACACAATCTGTGTTCCTATAATTGTTCACAGAGGGCACTGCAGTGCAAACCATGTCTGGTACCTCTATATATGCATTTAGATTATTATTCGAAGTCCCTCTTTTTTTACACATTCTGCACAAAAAATAGCTTACCCCTTTCATAATTTCCCGCCGAATTTTATGCATGAGGCGGGGCATAAAGTATCTTTTGCGAAGAATATGTAAAAAAAGAGGGACTTCAAATGTTAAAGCAAATGTATATATAGAGGTACCAGACATGTTTTGTAGGTACTCTATTTTGTATACAGTGAAAGGGAAATTAATCGAGTGTCAACAAAAAAAATGGCATGTTGAGAGATTCAGGTCGTGAGAGCAAATTTTCTCTCTCAAATTTGAATTTTTGGCTCTCTGGGAACCGGTAGTAAAGCAGCTAAAATTGTATGGGGAAAAATCATTTTTATTTAATTGTAGCTTATTTAACAATAATTTTCGGGATAAAACTGAACGAAAAAGTTCCTGATTATTTTCTTTAGGTTGTCATTCACTTTTTCACCTGAATATGCACCGAAAGCGAATTATTCCCACTTCTCTTAATTTCTATATGGGGATTTTTATCACTTCATACCAACGGAACAGCGCTATCTCTGTGGAAAATGGTCGAACAAAATGATTAATTTTGACAAACGCTTCGAAAATCGGACGATCGACAACAAAGGGGGTTTCCAACATTATAATTTAGACTGTGTTCCATTTGATGAAATTTCACTGACGTTTTGAAAACCATCGAAAATCCATCTGTTTTTGATCGTCCGATTTTCGAGAAATTGTTTATCAAAATTGATTCCTGGTTTGTCTAAAATAAGTCTGGTAGAATAGCAGGTTATTTTAAAATTATCCATCTGTCAAATAAAAGTTAAAATTCACCAAATGGATCACAGCCTAAATCTAACCTTTTTTACTAAAGTTGATAAGGTTAACATCATTGGGGCTTCATCCAGCCTGTTGATGTAAAACAACAATAAAACAATAGGGATTGATAGCTGTAGTATTCTCCTAGTCCCACCATCGAATGGCATTTGCTAGATAAGATGAAGTTGCGACATTATTAAACAGCTCTACAAACAACGTTCTTTGAAAACAATTTTATGAATGTGTTACTGGAAAAAAATGCAAGGATTAAAAAGGAGGACATTTTTAGGCTAAAGGAGGATGTAGAAAAAATATTGAAAAAGGAGGACATGTCCTCCTTTAGGATACCATATGGTAACCCTAACCTTAACTGGCTGTCCTCTAGATAGAGCACAATCGTCGCGTGGCACTTTTGGTCTGATCTTTTCCATGCTGGGGTCACTGGCTCTGGCTTTGGGTCGTCCACTACCGAGACGGCTAATACATAGGTGTAACAGTCGGAAGAAGTGTTAGTTTGTTTACTTAAATGAACCATGCCCATTTTGTTATGGCATGTTTGCTATACGAAATGCGCCTCGTGTTTATTAGCGAATTTCACATCAAAGATTGATTAATTGAGTAGGAAATCAGTTTGGCACGGCATTTGTGACCAGCATACACCTTCCGGTAGTATGAAACAGGTCAAAAACTGTTCAAATGCGCAGATAAAATTTTTGTTTTGAATTTCTGTATAGCAAAATAGTGAACTTTTCGTGAACATTAACGGCAAAGAACTCACCAACACTGGGAGACTGTGAGTTCCTGCCCACCTGTTCATTTTCCATCGTGGTCCACTACAGACCAGAGATCTTCCCGTATCAGGAGCATCTCCATTCGTTGTTTCCATGTCTGGTAATTTTGATTACACAGACGTGCGAACAGAAACTTGTTCTCAGACATTTTTGCTCCTATTCACTCGCGCACGACAACTTACACCCACACTGAAAGTATTTTCCACCGACTAAGGTGTTCGCACCAATCGATCGAGCAGCAAACAAAAGCTCTCGCAACGAAAACGAACCAGTCAGTCACACGCGCCGAGATGAAACGAACACAGCCAAACAACCCACACGACAATGTCGCTGCTACCAACACTCGCGCCGAATAACAATTCGCACTAGCACACACAAGATGCCTTGTCCATGAGCAGCCAACAGCCAAGAAGCAAAATGGACGCCACCAATCCGAACTGTAACGCAATTTCCAACAATAAAAGTTCACTTCCTTCCAACCATCCTCTGGGCCCATAACCTGTTGGGGCAGAACCCGGTTCGAGTGGACAGGTTATGCAGGGAATTCCGACGGGCGAACTGTGGACGACCGGCTAGGGAAACTTCGGAATACGCGCACTGATTAAAAAAGGTGAACAGCACGCGGCTTGACTAATAGCGTCTTTATTAGTGTAAGGTTACATGTGGAATGAAAAAATTTGTACTCTTCTACCTACTCTTCTTTCTGCTCGCTTTGTCGCCGTTACTGTCAAATATCTTACGGGGGGAAGGATAGCAACGGTCGACGAGGTAATATCGCCAAGGTACATGACAGTCAACAAATAACAGTAATGACATCTAATGGCCAATAAGCGCAGAAACCATTTCCTTCGGTTCATTGATACAACCTAAATGGTTCATGCTTTCGGTAAAGTTGTTCATTAGAATTGTGCCTTAGCCATGGGAATTTGGCTAAATATTAATATTAATAAATAATACATTATTTCAAAAATGCATTTCATATAATATCTTTATTCTCCATGTTTTATTTATATAGGTTGCCTCCATTTCGATTTTCGGTTGTTTCGGTATCAATAAACATTTACCATTAAGTAATGAACCCACTGGTGCTCCAAAACTTTGAGAAGCTTCTGGAGCAAAATCCTGAAACATGTTTTATGACTTTGTTCTACCTATATTTAACACAGGATGTCAGCCCTTCAAGAAATATCGTGCAGTCTTCTCCGATTTCGGCAATTCAGTGAATTTTGATTTATCTATGACGCAGGAAATCCGCGGAATTCCAGAGCATCATCGTCCTATGATTGCTCCGTCATTATACTCTGCAAAGTTTGGCCATGTTGATTCTGCAAGAACGTTTTTCACAGATGGATCTCTAATAGAGGAGTCCGCTGGTTTTGGTGTATTTAATGAATTTCATAGCGCCTCTCGAAAACTTGAAGCTCCTTGTTCTGTGTATGTGGCTGAACTGGCAGCAATTTACTACACTTTGGAAACGATTGCTTCACTTCTTCCAAACCACTACTTTATGTTTACGGATAGTCTCAGATCTGTCGAGGCTATCCGTTCCATTAGGCCGGTAAAGCATTTCTCGTATTTTCTCTTGAAAATACGAGAGCTGCTTAGTGCTTTATCCGTGCGTTCTTTAATCATCGCCTTCACGTGGGTCCCTTTGCATTGACTCAATTTTGGGCAATAAGAAGGCGGATTTACTTGCGAAGGTGGGCGCTATGGAAAACGACATTTATGATCTACAAATCGCCTATAGTGAATTTTTCTCTATTTGTCGTCAGCAGTCGCTCGTTAGCTGGCAACATCAATGGAGGGAAGGGAGCTTGGGACGATGGCTACATTCAATCGCTAAGGTGTCGAAGTTTGCATGGTTCAAAGGGTTGGACTTGGATCGAGACTTCATACGCGTGATGTCTCGTCTCATGTCCAATCACTATTGTTTAAACGCTCACTTGTTCCGTGTGGGGTTGGGAGACAGCAATATCTGTGAATGTGGACAAGGTTACCAGGACGCTAATCACATCATTTGGTCTTGTGCGGAGTATCGTGGAGTCAGATCACATTTTTATGATTCTCTTCGGGCTCGAGGTAGACAACCTAATGTTGCAGTTCGGGATATTTTGGCTAGACGTGATCTGGAGTTTATGAAACTCATATATGTTTACTTTAAAAATATTAACCTAAGATTGTAAGTTTTATTAACCTTGTGTTTAGTTTGTATTTTGTACGTGTGGGCAGTGTTGGAAAAGTTCGGGATATTTCACGAAGTTCACCAAGGGAAAAGTTCGCGAGTCATAGTGAATTTTTGCGAACTTTTCCATCGTGGGGGTTTTTTAATGTTTGTTTTCAAGATGAATAGAAAAAAATCATGTTTTAGGATTAATTAAATATTTGTATCGTAAACCACATTTCAAACCTCCTTCTTCCCTTTTCCCATCCAAAAAATTGTAAATCTCCACTAACCTCGAGACAACCGCGAGTACTCGGTCCAGTTCCTTTAACTTAAATATAAGACAGTAATAATGTATAACGGAAATGATAACTCGGCTCTGTAAAGTTTATTCGACTGAGCCTATTCAAATAAAGTTATTATTAAAAAAAAAAACATTTACTATTTAAATAATCCAACAGTCAAGTTCAAGTACGCAGACCTCCGCCGTTGTTTATAAAACACAGTCCTGATATCGAAATCTAACCGGCATTCTTCTCATATTTTTTCTCAACCCCAAACAGACACTGAAATCCGCGATCTAAGCGTAACGCATCGAGGAGGATCAAACGGCAGTCCACAGCTTCATCAACCCTCAATCAGCAGATGGTCCATCTCGGTCGCAGTCTCAGCCCTTCTGCTAGTTTTGGCCAGCATCCGTAGTAACATCAGCAGCAGTAACAGCTTTTGAAGGTGATTGTTAGTCATGTAAGCAGAACTAAGAAGCAAAAAAAAAGTACTTTTAGATTAGCAACGATCAGATCACATCCAACATTCCCACAAAAATTTACACAAGCAACATGTACAACACAGAACGTCACAAGCTAAAGAACAAAAAAAAAACACGAACGGAAAAGGATATCAATCGGTGTTGTTCGGAAGAGGGAGGAAGTGAGCAGGAATAGGTGCAATCGCAACGGTTTTGTTTGTAATAATTGCGTTACCAGGTTCGATTATACACGGTTAAATCAATTACCACAGCAAAGGGTGCACCGGAGCATCTGTTTTCGGTTCAATCATTGCGTGCCGGTTGGATGATTAAGTTTTAATTTGATTTACCTGCGGGAGTTGGATTTTCCGTGGAACAAAGAGCAAACCAAATAATGGTAGTTAAGTACACAAACATATTTACACCGTCACAAAAGAGTGCGCGATTAATTTGGTCGAGTTTTGTTAAAGAGTTGGGTTTTTTTTTTATTCATGTAAATTAGTATGAAAGTTGGACTGGTTCGAAGAATCGGCGGGAAATTTCCTGGGGATTTAATAATTACACATTTTCCCACGAACCGGTCCAGCAACCGAGCAACTCACAAAAATGATGCAACCAAGAAGACTATTTTTGATATGAGATAAAAAGAAATTAATTTAAAAACGACAAACAAAATGAGCGAGGTTGAATAAATAATGGAAAAGTGAGCGATAAGAGAGGGCGATAAAGTTAATTTATTTTTAATTAAATTTAAATTGCCAAAATGGGCGCAAACGAGGGGTACTTGGTTTGTTGCATGCTTTCGAGAATGATGTACACACAAACACTTGTGCACACACACACACACACACACGCGCGCGCATACCCGCGAGTACACTTCAACGACGCAGTGTCTATTGTCTGGTAGTGGAACTCGGCATTGTTCTGGTATTCAATAATGGGGCACAGTGGGTTAAAAAGAGTAAAAATTGGTCACATTTGTGAATCATTTTGGGGAGCACATTTTGAAATGAACGGCAATAATTCAATTACATCAGTGGGTTGTGGGTGGTCACGGGTGGTCGTGACTTCTGAGCACTCAAACCAATAACAATCCAATAAATTATCTAATGCACTGATGCATGATGGCTTACATCGGGATGTTTTACTGCACAACTAATGTGCGGTGAAAGAATGCAATAAAGTTTTGGGGATACATTTTTTAAAACTTGTTTTTGAAACACATTCTATGCCTATAATTTCATACAGGTTGTCGTCTCATTTGGCTTAATAAAATTTCCTTAGTTTTCCATAACTTTAACGGAGATAAACATCACGAAATCTCTTTTTAAAACGTGTTAAAAATAAAATTTATTTGATAAAACAACAACAACAACAACGGCCATTAAAGTTTACGTTTTTAAAACACGACAATCAGTTTTAAAGCAACAGCTTTACAATCATATCCCAAAAATATTGAAGTTTAACATTTACTGCACTTTAGTAAGCCACAGATCTCAAAATATTCAATGCCTTGAAGTTTCAAATAACAAGCACAAGTTGGTGATATTGAAAATTTTAAAACTGCCATCAGTGCTGGCAAAATCATCACTCAAATGATATTTTTCCGCTCTCATACGCTCTAAATATCACGCGAGATATTGGAACAAAATATCATGCTTGATATTGATGTTACAAGGACTATTGCGAGACTATTCATAACGTGTAAAAATCAAGCTAAGAGTTTGCTCGACACTAAAACGATTCCATTGCACATCGTTTTCTTAGAAAGAGAAAGTCTAGTTTGCTATCTCTTTTTACTCTTCACCGATGGCAGCCGTTATAGAAGTTTCGGTTGGGTTCGGGTGTACAGCAAAAATCAGGAAACTCAATCTCACCACAGTTTGGTGAGATTTGCAGTTGGTGAGTTTTGTTAGCTTGATAATCCGAGCTGCGATATCACAGCTTGCAAAATCAACCGCACTTGTTTGCTTGTTGATTTTTGTCTATGAAAATCAAGCGTGATCTTGAGCATTGGTGAGATTTAATTTTTTGATATTTTCCTAACACTGCTGCCATAATTATGGAAAAAAATGATAGATTTCAAGTTTGCATTTAACTTTATGAAAGATACGAGATGTTAAGTGAAGTTCCATAATTTTCACATCAATTGTAGGAAATGTGCGGAAGGTCTGAAGAATAAAAGGAAATGCTAAGTATTACGTTGCAGATTAATGAACAAGCTGCGGGAACATAAGGGAAGCTCATAAAAAATCTTGAAAATATGGACAACATCATGGAAGACTTAAAAAAGCTACTGCTTCAAAAAAGCTACACGATCTTTTAAGAAGTTCTTGGAATTCCAGAAATATTAAGAGAACTCAATGTAAGTCAAATGAAATTCAGAGATCTGGAGCGTATTTGAGAAAAAAAAACCGTGGAAGATTTTAAAAAGTTCCAAGATACAAAAAAAAACTATTTCTAGAGATATTTGGTGAATTTCAGAGATCTTATCGGCAGTTCCCGGAACGTCCAGACTTTTGGAGGAGTTTAAAAATCTATAAGTGTGAGATAAGATAAATTGAGGACAGCTCCACGTTCTTTAGGAACGTGCCGATAATTTCAGGGATGTATTTCTAAAAAACCTTCAAAGTACTTATGAAAACTTCAAAAATATTTCGGCAATTTCACAGCGGTCCCGAAAATTCAGGAATGTTTAAAAGTACTTAAAAGAGTTCCATTTATTTCAGAGCAGATCAAAATATGGTGGAATTGTGAGATGATTCTCTGATCTGTACAGATCAGATTACCCAATGGCAGCTCAAATAATTTCAAGGAAATCGCATAAGTCATACAGAAGTTTTGAAAAGTTCAGGGCAATTCCGCAATTTTTATTAAAGCTCCATGAAAATTTCTAAAACGTAAGGGAAGTTATATTACCATTGGGAAAATGTGAGAGTATTTAAAAAATTGTATATGAGTATCATGGGAATTTCAAGAGCCTAAAAAATTGGCGAAAATTTTACTAAGTTGATTCAAGAATTTCAAGGCAGTTCCATTAGTTTAAAAAAAGCGATATCTTCCGAAAATTTGAAGAGATCTTTAAAGAAATATAGAAGCTTTAAGTTGATTCGCTGTGAGATCCGTATTCTTGCTACCACTGCGAAACTTTAAGTGCACAAATATCAGCTTCCATGACACATACTACAATGAACATATACGTTTGCTACGGTGCAACATACATCCAGTAGCAATTTCAGGTGAAATTGCTACTCTAATTTCTGAGATTTTTGTAATTGAAAATTCGAGGTGAAAGTGCATTTACAGCCTACATGGCGGCCATTTGTGGACTCTACAAGGAATCTCCTTAAGAAAGTTTCATGAAGTTCAGCGGAGTCCCGAGTAGACCTGTGCGCCAGTCCATTCATTGGTGGCGGTGGAGTGGAAACCAGAGGCAGAGGCGACGTATTAAGCCTCTGGCGCGATTTATTCGTGGTGGGAAATTCACCGCATTTTAGCTGCATGGTGGCTTATGGAAGTGCTTAAACTAACGCAACGTGGTGAAACGACTTTGTTCGTTAGTTTTTGCAACGTTTTTTTTTTGTTGCGTTCGCTTTGGATTCTTTGTCTGTAGCGTTTTTGCATGAGCATGATTGACCGCCCGAGGATGCAACTCCGTTATTGCCAGATCAGCTGTAACTACACAGAGAACCAAAAGACGTTGCTTGAGATCCTCAATGTGACTGGTGATATAAAATTAGGCAATACCAGTGCCAGCCGCGTCTGAATGCAGGTCAAGAAAGGAATGGGCAGGAATATGTTGACATAGTACTCGCTTTAATGAAAGCCATGAACACCTCTGCACTTCCACGAGAAATCACTGTTATGTTGGATTAAAGGGTTGAGATTGCAGCAGGATTCGTTTTGGTAAGCAATATGCTAAATTGATGTCGATTCCATAGCGCGAAGGAGCTTAGGCTTGAACCCACGGTCTTCTGCTCAGTTAGCAAAATCGGTCACCACTAGGCCACCGAGCTCCGTATATTACAAAACAATTACGATCATGGTGGTTTATGGGAGTGCTCAAACCAACGTGAAGAAACGATGTTGTTCGTTAGTTTTTGCAGCGTTTTTCTTGCGTTCGCTTTGGATTCGCTGTCTGTATTGTTTTTGCCGCCGAAGAAGTGCGGCGTCCGTTCTGTTGTTGTGATGATTTGCATTGCCGAACAGGGATTTGTTATGACAAAAATTATAATTGGAAGATGAGAACTTCTGCGTACTTCGGGGAAGTTCAACGAACTTCAGAACAGTTTTGTTAACTTCAGAAAAGTGCTATATCTTTCTTTCTAATCCTTCGTACTTTGGAGTACTTCAGGGAAGTTCTAAGATTTTTGAAACATTTCTACGAGCTTCAAAAAGTTCTACATATCCAATAGTCTTTTCAGAAATCATCGATCGTACCTTCCTCAAAGTTGTCCTTGCTCGCTCTCTACTCTCTATATACAATTTTCACACTGCCGTACTCGAACGGAACTATCAACTCTACAGTCTCATCTTCTCATCTATCGTATAAAATGACCACTTTAGCCTGTTATTTGCAATTAATCTAGTGTTTGAATTCCCTTGTGATATATTATAGTCTTTGGATACATACTAACTAGAACATGTCCAGTCCGTATCTCAATAGCAGTGGTGCTCATCCAACGGCCTGCGGGCCACATGCGTCTGTGGAATGTATGATACTTTTTTTTATCTTGGAACTCTTTTGGGAACTTCTTCTTTTTAATCTTGAGCATTATTTTCAGAATTCCTTCTATTTTTGACGTAGGACTACGTCTGTGATTTTTATATGGGCGTACACTTTGTGAAAACCGATTGTGGAACATGTAACAAAATTATGAAAGATTTTGAATGATAATAACTCAGTTGCCCCTGGACCAATTTCAATAATTTTATCACCAATTGATCAAAAATATTTCAAAATTTCGGTGCATATGTTAAATTAAAGGCTTTATCATTTTAAAAATTTCACAATTGAAAAATTCACGAATGTGCAATATGTTGCCCCTAACACAGATTTCAAAGTTGAACTCCATCCGGTCTCACCAAACGGTGTTTATTCAATCACCGCGTGGTGAGTGGTGGTGTTCTCCAGTACACAACGAAAGGCTCCCGCAAGCAGTTAGCTATCAAGGCTGCCCTCAACCGCTGATCAAGGTTATCAATTGGATGTCAGTTTCCATATCAAGAAAGAGCTGCGTTGCAGCTTTTATAAACAATGCCTTCTTTCGATGATGTCTTTAAAGTCAAAGCTCGCCCCTGCAAATCAACATCACCATCAGGTAGGGTAAGACTTTCCCTACCCGACGGTAATGTTGGTTTGTGTGGGCGTGCCTTGAATTCCTAAAAATCATCGAGAGAAGTGATTGTTTACAAAAGCTGTTACGCCTAATTTCAGCTATATCTAGATATGTTTGAATCTAACATACCATGTTCTTGAAGGCAACACTGAGGGTGCAATTTCAAAAACCTAAGTTGGTCGAGGCATGATAGTGGTCTTATTTTGATCCAGAGATAATGGATTTTAATTCTTAATACACCAATCGATAGGATTTTTTTTGCGATTCTGTTAGAACTAAGACTCAAAATTTCAAAATTGAAAATTGCACGAATGTGTAACTGTTGCTATGAAAATTAAAATTATCACCGATTGCCTGTGAAAAGCGATTTTCTCTAACACAGAATTACATACGGTCTCACCAAACGGTGTTTATCCAATCACCGCGTGGTGAGTGGTGATGTTCTCCAGTACACAACCAAAAGGCTGTCTGCAAGTAGCGAGCTGCAGCCCACATGAGCATCCATTGAAGAAGAAAAAAGCCGCACCGCTATTGATCGGAATCAGAAGCTCTTCGTGAGTCGCTGTGGACCATCTATGGCAAGCGCGTCATACTAAAGAGTATAAACAGAGAAAACCCCGCTCAAATGTCTATTCCTGCACAAAATACAAGCTCCTGCTGCAGTTAACAAATAAAATTTATAATATTTGACCACGTAGTCCTACGTCACCATTAATTCCCGTTATAATTTGTATCCCAATTTCTTTAAAATTTTCCCAGAAATTCCGTTACCAATGTTTTTTTTTATTCTGTTCAATTCTCCTCAAAACTTGTATACACTATCCTCAGATATTGTGAGTTTGAACTTCCATGGAATTTAATTCAAAACACCTGCTTAATAACCTCTCCTTAACGCTGTCGAAAATATTAAATTGTCCTTAAGATTCCTTTGGACACGTTCCTTTCGAATTCTTATCTCAAATCTATTGAAATTAATGTCAAAATTCCCAAGAAGTACTTGCCAGCATTAGACGTAACGGTTTTAATCACGTTAGTGCCATTTTGATCTTGGTTTTGTGCCTCCCGTTTCATGCAAAAACAAGTTTACAGAAAACTATCATCCATTATTTTGAGTTCGTTGGACACATTGTTAAAATATGTTTGCCCTTTTTTTGCATTCTGATCCACTGTGCTCCCAGGGACGTGGCGAGACGGTGTCGCTTCACGCCGATAAACACTTGAAATCCCGTTGGGAGTTAATGGAAAATACCACATGAAAAGCGCGCGAAATGTTCCCAACCACAGACATCCCACGCTTCAAAGGATCCGGATGCTGGAAAACACCGGCCATGGAGTGATGGTGAATCCTTGATGAAATTAAATGCAATTTGAATAATACAAAAAAACACCCCTTCGGTAACCGCCACCGCCGTCGCCACATCCCGAGGGAAAAGATGACACTCGAAATGCTCGATAATTTATTTTAATTCAATTCGACTTTACTGTCGCATTCGCCGCACCATTCAGCTGGCCGCAGCGGCCTGAGGTGTGAAGCAATTTTTCTGATAAAGGATAGCAAAAATGATAATCGTACCGTTCCTCACTCGAATCGATCGCACCGCACCGCCAAGGCATGGTCCGATAAGAGATTACGCATTTCAAACGAGGATTGTGTGGCTTTTCCGATGAGGAACGATATCATGGTTGGATGGGATTATGTACGCCTCCGCGGATGATCGATAGACTGATGCTCTTTTCATCAATTTTAAATTTGGAAAATTAATCCGAAAAGAACACCATTTCCACACAATTCGGAGGAAATTGTGTAACTGTGCAATGAAGTATAATGAGTTCCGAGAATGAATGCTTCGAAAGAAATTGAACTCTCGATGCGATTTTAACCATTATTCGCAATCGGGAACCGTGCATCCGAGAGTACAGACACAGGAACGAGTAAGGTCACATACAATGGATTTTTTTCGCCACTGTGTGCAATCATCATTATTCCGATTGTTGTTCTTTATTGCCGAAATGTTTTTGCACTACCGCGCAACAACCACCCCCTCCCGACGAACACCCTGCCAAATTATTGAGAGTTTTTGGAGTCACCAGCAATTCGACGAGCAAAAAGGGGACGGGGTTGCATTGTTCATAATTTAAGTGATGTTATGTGTTTTCTCTAATGGAAATACAGAGAAAGATGACCTATGTGATGAGGCAATGGCATTAATTGTTCTCAAATGCAGTCGAGGACAAAGCTACAGAAGTATTTTTCGTTTATAAGGCCGTATGATGTAGAAATTACCATAGCTTGAATCACTTTGTGTATGCATGTGTGTGTGTGTGTCATCTTCTACCCCTAACCCAGCGGAGGGCGTTGGACAAATAGTACTTCGAACAATTTGATCAAATTCAATGCTGCGTCATGGAGCCCTTAATTTTGTGAAGATCAGTAATTTAAAAAGGATAACTTTTGAGCCATCCTCAACAAGTTTAAGGAAAAGGATGTACTAATGTCCACAACAGGTACAGCAAAACATCACATAGACGCCTTTATTCGCACTATGTATTCAGGAGTAGAAGAAAAAGTAGAACCACCGCAGCCAACTGAAGCTTGAACCGGGTACCAGGGCAATCCACAATACCCATGGGCAGCAGCCAGTAAATGATGCCCTTTCGTATTTAGTTGTTGAATATTGTTGCATTTAGGGGGATTAGGGGCATAATGAACACACGGGGCGAAATGGACACCCTCAAAATAACAAAATCTTTTAAATTTAAACGGAAATGTAAGTTGTTAATCATTTTTACCACTATCAAACATAATTTTTCAATAGAACAGTTGATATCCCCTTTTAACCACCAAAATATATGAAAAATTGGAAATCAGAAGACTACAAAAGACAATCGGGAAGGCAGCAGTGGTCCAAAACGGCCATGGAAGCGGCCATAGATTCTGTCCGCCGGAGTGGAACGTCCATCAAACGAGCAGCCAAGGACCATGGAATTCCAAGACCTACGCTGATCCGCTATCTGAAAACTGCAGAAGTACTGGGCTAGGAGGTGAAGCAAATCGGCTCATTCAAAACAGTTTTCATACCTGCCGAGGAAGCTGTTTCAATGGCCCACATTTTGGACTTTGAGGTTCGATGCTACGGAATTACCACCCGCGACATCCGGAGCCTTGCCTTCCAGCTGGCCGAACGCAACGGGAAAGCACATGTTTTCAATACGAAGACACAGCTGGCTGGTTGGGATTGGCTTCACGGTTTTCGGAAGCGTCATCCCAAACTCTCACTCCGTACTCCTGAGGCTACCTCAGCTGCAATGTTGCAAGCATTCAACAAGATAGCGGTCGACAACTTCTTCGATGTACTGCATCGTGAAATGGACGATGTACTCATTTTGTATTCTTAGGTGCAAACGAAACGTTCGAAAGTGTTTGCCTTGAAAGGCCGACGACAGGCAGGAGCTGTGACATCGGCGGAATGAGGGCTACTTTCCACTGCAAGCATTTGCATGTCAGCAACGGAACAAATACTGCCACCTATGATGAAATTCTCTAGGGCCCGTTTGACTAACAGTCTTATGGATGGTGCTCCACCAGACACGGTATTTGTCTGCAACTCTTCCGGTTGGATGACTGTGAAAGAATTCAACACCTGGTTCGAGCATTTTCTAAAGCACACGCGTCCAACAGCTGATAACCCGGTTCTTTTGATTTTGGACGGTCATTCTTCGCATACGAAGAACCTTGGCTTTATTGAAAGAGCGCGTGAGTGCCGTGTGACAGTCGTGTGCTTGCCCCCCCATTGCAACCACAAACTACAGCCTCTCGACATAAGCTACATGGGGCCTCTCAAGACGGCTTTCTCGAAGGAAGTGGAGAGTTTCCTCAAATGCAATCCTGGTATGGTTGTCACCCTGAACGAAATCAGCCGGCTTTTCGGTTCGGCTTTCATAAAGACTTCTAACGCGGCTATTGGTGTAAACGGATTCCGTAAGGCAGGAATTTTTCCGCTGAACCGGTTTATCTTCAACGATAATGATTTTGCGCCGGCTGACGTAACGGACGTTCTTCCAGCAGACCCAGAAACCGATCGTTCAAACAATGAACTTGGTGACGAAGCTCTTGAATCCAACGCAGCCGATACTGAAGCAGGACCTTCGCGAATGCACAATGAGGTAGGAGATATCAACGATTCACTGTCAAACGAAAAGGAAAATATCGCTCCAAAAGGGATTGTAAAAGTGGATGCTAACAACATGCTGACTCCGAAAGCTACTTTGGCGCCGTTGGATTCGAATGTTCCAGCCGGTTTGTCTGTCCGAAGTATCTTCAAAGTGTCTCCTGCGGAAATCCTACCGCAACCGAAAACAGTTACCAGGAAAGTTGGCGGTGGACGAAAGAGGGAGAAAGCTCGAAACATAACCTCAAGCCCCAGTCGAAATGAGTTGAAGTCATCGCAGGCATTGAAGGATATTGATCAGCTAAAGAAGGCGATCAAAGCTGAAACAAGACACATTTCTAACAGTGATGCCCAAACACCCAAACGCAAACGAGGACGTCCGAAAGGAAAGAGCAATCAAACTAAAACGAAGTATGTGGCTGTTGTTTCAGTTCTTCTGACAAAGGACAGGATTGGATCAAATGTTCCAAGTGCTGCTTGTGGTTCCATGAATGCCAGGACTCTCGCTGCCCTTCGTGTGCCTTTCAATAAGTCATCAATTTGTAGCTAATCTTTATTATGTGATTGTTCATGAATTGGTTTTATTTTCTTTATTTCGGTAAAATCACCAGAGATGTGTTCGCCAATGAAATTGAATTGAATTAAATAAAAATCTGTTACTGTTTTGGTTGAAATATGATTAGTTTTATTTAAAAACTTACTAAACTGACCCCACTGTCAATCATAGTTTCAATAATAGTTTTAGAATCGGGCTCTCATCATGTCAATCAATTGCCGTGATTCAATTACTACTTACTTTCCAGGGCACTTTTCGGTATGTAAGCACCTCTTGTTAAGGTAGTTAATCATGAGCATTTTCTATTAGACCCCCTATACCAATTGAACTTATTCTACATACTCTTTTGAAGTTGCTTATTGACCTATACGAAGTAAAGCTTAAGAAATGTCTCCCCTATGTTCTCGTTTTTGTATGTATGTATGTGTGTGTATGTGTGTGTGTGAGGGTTGTATGTATGTGGGAGGGATGGGGACATGTTCGCGTAGGTATGTACTTATGTTATAGAGTCAATTTCTGAGTCTAATCCAGTTTTTAGCAAGGTGTCCATTATGCCCCATAAGGGTGTTCATTTCGCCCCGTACCCCATCCACCAACCCGGTTTACAAAGAAGTTTTCAAATGGTTTTTACAGACTTAAATTCACTATTTTATTGCTGAAAACGATTGGAGTGTATAGTATATGGATATTATTTGAGGTTTGACTATTTATCTCCGACAATTACGGGTATTTTACACTCATAAAATGTATTTTCCCTTAAGGTGTTCATTATGACCCTGCCCCTTATGTCCTGGAATAAATTTAATTATTACTAAATTGATGGATCACATCAAATATTGAGCCAGATAGCTCCAATTGTTCCAATAGCAGCGTCAAAATACATCAAATCACTGAAAGATTGCTTTTTGTACACTTGAAACCTAATTACAACACAACATTAGACCAAGGTGATACAAACGTTGGTGATGGGGTGCACTCACGAAATAGAATGTAATTGCATTTTTGATTGCACTGATCTGTTCCTATGAATCCTATACTGTTTCGCTAAGGCAATCTTCCAGATCTGATGGAATATTTGGGGTTAATTGTGTATCGATATCCCCCAATAAGTACTGGGACTTGTATGTACATTCATATAATGTCCTGTAGATTTCCCATCGAAGTTCATACCAATTGAAACCAATGACTGGCAAGGATACCTAAGGAAAACCGTTGGAGAAAACGATAAATTTTTCATCCCGGAAGACCCTTGGCAAGACCGGGATTCAAACCAGGCCGAAATCAAGGGGTAGGTCATTCCGCACACCAATCTTGGGTCAACATTTTTCTCAGTGTGCTGCAGGTGTGCCGATTGTGCCGGCATTGCCGGTCATAGAGCAAGCTGAGATTTTTTTTTTGTAAGATGCGAATTTTATGGTATATTTGGCAACCCGGCATTTTTGACAGCTTGAATGTTTTGGTTTGCAATCAATACGATACGATACGATTACGGTGCTGTACGAAAAGTTCATCTTTTCCCTGACTAGCAAGAAGAAGATCGACTTCTTGAAGCATATCGGAAAATGCCCTCCTCAGGACGGTGAGGAGGGCATTCCGTCGGTGAAACTGTTGGTTTGGGATAATAACGACAAAGGCAAAACGTTGGGCGTCTTCTCCAAGGGCAGCTTTCCGGGTGAATTCTGTGAATCGTGGCGAGCCTTCATCAAGGACAAGAGCTTCGACACGGTGGACATCAGCGTCCCAATCGGGTGCATCATGTGCTCCAAAGAGGACTCCGAGGCTATCACCAGCATGTCGTATTCAACAAGTACCTCAAGGATCACATCATGGAGATTATCGATGCTTATAAGAAAGTAAAACATGTCAAACTGTCGGAGGGTGTCGAGCCGGCTCTGACGGCAAAAGGTACGTCTCCAGTGTGGATACCAACTAGTTGGACAACTATTATCCAGTTGGGTGGCAATTACAGCTTTAAGTTCAGTGCATTCAGCGACAAGAACTATCTGCACTTCGGATCGATCATCTGTACTCTGGGTGCGCGTTACAAGTCCTCAGCTCCAATGTCATCCGAACGTTGCTGGTCAATCCGACGGAAACGATTCAGAAGCACTACACCTTTCTGCTCAATCTGGAAGAGGAACTGCTGAAAGTGATGATTCCGGGCAAGAAGCTCTCGAAGGTTTTCGATGTCGGAATGGATTAGGCCAAGAAAGAGGATCCCAAGCTAAGACGTTTGGTTTTGCCATCGGGTTGGAGTTTAATAAACAATTCAATGCCTACGTGATTGTGCCGAAGGATGTGTCCAAGCTGTGCCGAATCTACTTTCGGCACACTGTGCTGAGTGACTTACCCCTTGGCCGAAATACAAAAACTATCACACACTCCCCCTATGATATGATTTTTTTTTCTTTATCGTTCGTTTTGCATAAAAATCTTGTAAAACAAAACAAAAATCCTCAGCAGCTGGAACAATATTGTCGTCGTTCAGAGGATTTTTGTCCATTGAGTTCGCCGATCGCATTCCGCAACGTACCGTCGTATTGGATGATTTTACAGGCAATTGACGAACCGTTGCTGGAGGGAACTCATTTTGGTCATCTTGACTGTCGTATTGACCCTCTCAACCAACCATGGTGTGGAAGAACTCTGTTGGTGTGAAGCTATTCTGGACGAAACAACGATCCGCTGGAATTTTCGCTACGACTCTGATGAGCTAAACTTAGTTTCATGGTGCAGACAGGTGCAGGCAATATTCACAGCATTTTTCCTTGGAATCCGAACCCAATGTGAAGCCCAATGCAGTAAACAAAGAAATCTACCTTAGCAACGATTGGCAAAACGTCAACTCTCGACAGTGATGCCGTTTTATATAATGTCGATTGTATCCTACTTGTCAACGTTTGTCCTAAAGAGCCGAATAGTGTGCCATGCCGTGTTTCGGAACAGTGTGCAGAGTCGATTACGTAGCGAAAATTAAACATGTCAGCTTTCAATCTCAGCCTACTCTCTTCTCAAATTACCATAGCTTGAATCACTTTGAACCCAAAAGCATCATTTCAATAAACAGGTACACCCCGTTACTTCCATTTATTTCCAACAACAATTCCAATCACACAACTTACACCATAACCATTACCGCCACCTAGTTGAAAGAACCACAGTAGTTTCCATCCGGTTCTCCACCGTGCCATAAACACAAAAAGACACCTAATTACACTTTTCCACAAAACTTCGGAATCCAACTCATTATCCGGATGTCTTTGGCAGAACTTTCCTAAAACCCCATGATTCCGGTACCGGTTGAAAACTTTGTCCAACCAACCGCACCCAGTCTGACCGGGTCAATCATTCTCTCACCTCACGTGATCATCAGTGCATGTGTGTATGCATATGTGTGTGTGTGTGTGTCTACGTTTGCCACTTCCCAGGTGAGCTCTTCCGAAATGATAAACAAAAAACCAACGGCTCAGCCAATGTGCCGTGAAGTTCCCGAAACATCACATCTTAATTATTTCTCCGAGGCAAACCGCGTGGATTCAAGTGGAAATTCTTACGGTCGTCGGGGCTTCAGCAACAGATCCAACTTTTTAACCGAACATATCTGGCTCGGTATAAACAAGAGGAAAAGTTTCGGCAGCTATCTTGTCCAGCAATGCAATGTGGAAGGCAGGGTGAAACCACATACAGCCTCCAACCCTCGCCCACGGGTCGTGGAAGCTGTTCTGTTCGGTTCATCGATTTAGGTGCGGTGTTTCCGAGTGGACGGGGGCAGCTTGAAGTGGTTAAAGAACTTTAGATACCGGTAAAAGTTTTCTCCGGATCATTCGAGGGAATCTCGATGTTTGGGTTCAGTGGTGTGCGGAGGGAAAAAAAAGGAGCAAACGGTCAGATGAGTCGATTTGCCCCAAATGCAGAACTTTGTACAGCATTCATAAGCGCTGTTGTTCTTTGATGTTGATCATATTTATTTGGCAGTAGGGTGGGTCAAATGTACAGCCCCTGCTCCCCAAAGGCTCTTTTTATGAGCATTGAAGTCCCGAAAAACTGTGCCAAATTTGAAAGCATTCGGCTAAGATCTGAATTTGCAGGAGAGCTCTAAAGTTTGTATGGGAAAATTAATAGGAAATGGAACAAAACTGTTGTCAAAGATCGCAAATTGATTCAACTTCTTCGCAAAAAGTTACTACACTTTTTATTAAGACCAAGTGCTCCGCGCCTTCCTACAGACGTATATATAAGGTAGGTAGGTATATGCGAAGCACTAGGCCTAAAGCAAAGATATCTAATTAACAAGATATCCCACTGATCAATTCCTGGAACAAAGCAATGCATGCACCACCCTTATGTGATTGCAGTGCCGTCTGGTGAGTGCGCATTGAAACTGTTGGGAGTTCCTCACCAAATTCACCACCAGAGCTCGAAACTGACAGGCGTCAGCATGAAAGATGCCAGCGTGGACTTTGATTATCAGCCGAGGGAAGAGGACGATATCCCGCGTAACTTTGCAAAGGGACCAATGTAACATATCCGCCATTTTGATAAAATCAAAGTTGAAGTTAGATTATTTTTTTAACTGTTTAGAAACAATACATTTTTCAATACTATGTTTACCGTAGTCACCCTAATAAAATGAGTATGGTTATTTTGTTTAACGAGGTGTTCAGGGTATCATCCAAACCATTTGTGGATTAGTACAATAATTTGAGTTATCGTTCGGGAATGGTTTTTTTTATTATTGCAACGGCAAAATCACAATTTTACTTTAACTGTCATGATACAATATTGAATAAATTTAATAGGGCGTTTTGACCAGTTAAGTTGTACATTTGAAATTATACATTGGAAGATTTTTCTCAATGACATAATCAATTAGTGTTGAATTGGACGTTTTGTTCTACATGATACTAGATTCCCTTTCACAGACATCAGATTAGAGTATCTAACACCGGCTAAATGATTTGTACACTTACTTATAAGTTATAACCTTACATTGGATTTCCATACCCTGCCTTTTGAAAATGAGCACCATTCATGTAAGGCAGTCCAAATGTTCAAAATAACCATCATTGCAAACAGAATGTTTGATTTTTGAGCTAAAATATTCACGGAATTGGGTTGTTTAGTTTCGAACAACATGCCGGTTTTATACATCAATGCTTCATTTTCTGAGCACAACGAATGGATCTCATAGACTTTCATCTCGATTTTTAAATCATGATTTATATTTTGAAATTTTGGCACTAAAACTCCCATACATAGTTCTACCGAGGGGCGCTAAGATGCTGCTTTTTATTAATGTAATCGCACTTATTTAAAATAGTTTCAGTGTGCCAAACTTGATGAAATTTTGGATCCCCGTTCCATTTATAATGCAGATTAAGAATCCATATTTACTTAGGCTCAATACCCCTAAACAAACCTGTTGCTGTTCAATTATTTTCATCATTATCGCATTGTATGCGAAACAGCATAAGTTACTGAAGTTACTTATAAATTATTAACGATTATTTTTATTACTTTTTGACTACCCAGCAATTCAAAGTTCAGATTATTTCGAAAAAAAAATTAGGTTATCTTTGATCTCCCAAGCTTGGTAGAAACCCTAGTGCGTGGTAAACACAGACTGGCGAATAGAAATGAAACTTGCAAGTGTTGAAACATAGAATTGATCCACAATCTGTGCCGAGTTCTTAATCTGTGCCGAAAGCTGGGTCAAGCGTTGTGCCGAACGTGCCGAAGTGTAACAATCTCTCAGTATTCCATGAGTTTGGCAACCCTGCAGTGATGACTTTTGAGATTATTTGTTAACATTTTCAAGTCAAAATCGGAAAAAAAGTTTTGAACATAAATTCCCAGATAAATTTCCATATTCAAAGGAAGGAAGTGGCACTCGAAGTTTAGCCCCTCCGCGAGAAGGACAAGTGACTAATGGCAGAAGCTGTCCATCCAGGAGAAGAAAGTTCTGTTCCGTGCGTCATTCTGATAGATTGGTAGCAATTGGTTAGCCGAAACCAAGAAGATGCACCTTCTCTGCATTATCAAACTATAGAAAAAAACAGGAAGGATTCAACCTAAAATGCCCACCAGCGTTAGTAGAAGCAGCAATAGACCTGCAGTAGGTTCATAGTATCAGCAGCCGTGGTTGGGTACTAAATTCGTCGATACTGGTTCTTCCTTCATATTTATCCTTGCTTGGTCATGCTGGAATCACGTGTTAATCTCCCTGAAACTGCATCCGATTCCGATTGCATTTAATAATACCGTGATTCTAATTGACTTCATTACCTCCGGTGTGTTTACCTTCACAATTATGTTAGCAGCATCTTTCTTAATGTTGCTGTTGCCGTTGGTAAAATGAACACCCAGTTGCGAAAGAGCTTAGAGAAACTGTGAACCGGTAATCCGGAGTCCACTGACTTCATCAGCCTCCAAAACTCGCTCAACAATCAATGGAATTTTCGAAATAGTTCAGTCCTGTTCTGCCCATAGAATGAGCTGTACGGCTGACTGATTGATGAACCATCAATCGTTCCGAGTGGTTCTGGATGGATCGTTCAGCATCCGGTCGTTGATGACACCGTACATTAGCGCTGCAATAAGAACTAAAATTTTCCTTACCCTAACAATTGGGTCTCGGTTCGGGTCATATGGCTGTCTAGGGTTAAAACGAATTATGGGCTTTTTTGCGTGGCGTGGTGACTATTTCGTTTGGACTTCCCTGAAACTATGTACATCTCCCAAAAACCGCAAGGACTTTCTGTAGAGGTTCATCCCCCAAAAGGCATAAAGACACGGAGAGTCTCGTCAATTATACAATCTTTTATTATGATTGGGCACAATTTCGCTGAAAAATCGACCAAAAAATTAAAAAGGCATTGACGAAAAAAAAAACCCTTTTCTCCCTTACAAAGTAGTAAACCTTAGCAACGATTGGCAAAACGTGATCACAAGACAGTGATGTCGTTTTGTATTATATTTTGTGACATATTTGTCATCGTGTGCCATGATGTGCCGATCAGTGTGCCACGATGTGTTTTTTGGCACAGTGTGCAAAGTTGATTACCATTTGAAATTAATCCTTTTTGCTCACCTGGTTTTTAAATTATTTCAATTCTCTCCACTACTAAAACTATTGTCTGCTTGGCTCCACATTTTTAAAGTGCATTTGGCTCTGATACATTTATCTTTGCCAGTCTATGTTTA